TTGGGCCTCCACCAATGTGACTGAATCATGAAAAAGTCTCGAGCGAGAGCGCCGTTCCTGACTTCGTGGGCATTCCTGGCCAGGGGCCCTCGGAGTAAATCGTGAAGAAGTATCGAGCAGGAGCCCTTGTCGTCGTGGCTGGGTCCCCACCACCTTGGCTGAATTGCGAGGACGTCTCGAGCGAGAGCGCCGTTCCTGAGTTCGGGGGCCTCTCTGGCCAGGATGCCTCGGGGTAAATTGTGAGAAGGTATCGAGCGGGAGCCGTTGTCGTCGCAGCCGGGCCTCCAAGGGCCCACTTTCACTCAAGCAAACGCTTGAGCGGGAGCTTCGTTTTTAGAGAACATTAGCTGGCGTCGAGGCGAGAGCGCCCGGAACCGTTTCCGGAGATCAGCAATAATTATTCTTTAAAACAAGTATTCAACGGCTCCCGCCTGATACTTCCTCACAATGTATTCCCAAATCGCGCTCTCGCGCGGGACCTCCTCACAATGTATACAGGCATCGCGCGCTCGCGTGGGACTTCCTCGCAATCTTTTCAGACGCCGCGCCCTCGCCACTCAGCAATCACGCTCTCGTAGTGGATATCCCCACGATTTATTTGGGAATAGCGCTATCGCGCGATACTTCCTCGCGGTTTATGCAGAACGCACGCTTCAGCAACCCGCCTGCTCGACCTGGCCGCCTGGGCCCGCCTTCCCAACCTGCCCGTTAGGGTCTACCCGCCCGATCTGCCCGTCTGGTTCTGCCACATGTTTTCTGCTCCTAGCCCCCATCCTGGTACCTCATAATCATGCTCCATCCTCCTCCCGTCCCCTTGCCCTTCCTTCCATCCGTCCTCGCTTCTCCTGCCTTACGGGCTGTGCGAAATACACGTTGCAGGTATACATGTTATTACCCCTGAAGGGGGTACGATCGAAGACGAAGAGGGCGGGTATCGAGGGTTTGGGATATACGTGTGGAACGGCTCGCGAGCAGGTCAGAGCGAACAGTCTAAAAATGGTTGTTGTTGGTTGTTGGTGTTGTTGGTGGTGTTGGTGTTCTTGGTGGTGGTGGTGCTGCTGTTGCTGTTGTTGTTGGTGTTGTGTGTTGTGTGTTGTTTGTTGTTTGTTCTTTGTTGTTTGTTGTTGTTTGTTTTCCGCGACCCACCCGCGACCCGGCCCGCGACCCACCCGCGACCCGCCCTGCGACCCGCCCGCGACCCACCCCGCGACCCGCCCGCGACCCACCCGCGACCCACCACGCGACCCGGCCCGCGACCCACCGGCGACCCACCGGCGACCCACCGGCGACCCACCGGCGACCCACCCGCGACCCACCCGCGACCCACCCGCGACCCGACCCGCGACCCGCCAGCGACTCGCCCGCGACCCGCACGCGACTCACCCGCGACCCACCCCGTGACCCAACTGCGGGGCGCTACGTGGTCGGACCCTTTGGGGCCCAAATATGGGCGCATCCGTTGACCTCAGGGGTCTTGGGAGATCAGTTCCCCAGGGTGGTCGATGTGATTTGATCCCAGCCTCGCCAAGGCCTGCATCTGGCGTGGGGCTCATGGACCGAAGCAGCTCACAAGTTTTTGAAGGCCTGCGGCCGTCCAGGGACCCACGGTAGCAAAGTCCTTCCTCGGTTATCCAGTGGGTTTTTGCTTGGGGTCCTGGCAGCTGAGGTTCCCGCGGACATATAAAGTTCTTTTTCGTTGTAGCGCTCGGCGGGACGTAAAGCATCAAAACGAAAGGCTGAAGCTTGAGCTGAAGCTTCCACTTTGGATTCCGCGTGTGAGGCGAGGCGAGACGCGTGCGAGGCGAGAGCGATTTGGGGAGGTCCAGGGAGGGTCTGAAGCCCACGGCGCCGACGACCATGATCAGAAGCACAGTTGTTTTGCATTGCACTTGTTTGTACATTGCAGTGTTTGTTTGTATTGCAGCTTTGCATTGCAGCTTTGCCGTTCGAGCTTCAACGTTGGATTCCGGGTGCAAGGCGAGAGCGGTTTGGGGACGTCCAGGGAGGCTCTGAAGTAAACGGCGCCAACGACCATGATCCGAATTACACGTGTGTTTGCATTGCAGCTTTGCCGTTCCATCTTTAGCTTTGGATTCCGCGTGCGAGGCGAGACCGGTTTGGGGAGGTCCAGGGAGGGTCTGAAGCCCACGGCGACAACGACCATGATCAGAATTACAGTTGCTTCTGCGTTACAATTTGTTGTTCCATTGTTTTGTATCAGCTTTGCCGTTCGAGCTTCAACTTTGGATTCCGCGTACGAGGCGAGAGCGGTTTGGGGACGTCCAGGGAGGCTTTGAAGTGAACGGTGCCAACGACCATGATCAGAATTGCACGTGTTTTTCCATTGCAGCTTTGCCGTTCCACCTTCAGCTTTGGATTCCACGTGCGAGGCGAGAGCGGTTTTGGGAGGTCCAGGGAGGGTCTGAAGCCCACGGCGCCGACGACCATGATCAGAAGCACAGTTGTTTTGCATTGCACTTGTTTGTACATTGCAGTGTTTGTTTGTATTGCAGCTTTGCATTGCAGCTTTGCCGTTCGAGCTTCAACGTTGGATTCCGGGTGCAAGGCGAGAGCGGTTTGGGGACGTCCAGGGAGGCTCTGAAGTAAACGGCGCCAACGACCATGATCCGACTTACACGTGTGTTTGCATTGCAGCTTTGCCGTTCCATCTTTAGCTTTGGATTCCGCGTGCGAGGCGAGACCGGTTTGGGGAGGTCCAGGGAGGGTCTGAAGCCCACGGCGACAACGACCATGATCAGAATTACAGTTGCTTCTGCGTTACAATTTGTTGTTCCATTGTTTTGTATCAGCTTTGCCGTTCGAGCTTCAACTTTGGATTCCGCGTACGAGGCGAGAGCGGTTTGGGGACGTCCAGGGAGGCTTTGAAGTGAACGGTGCCAACGACCATGATCAGAATTGCACGTGTTTTTCCATTGCAGCTTTGCCGTTCCACCTTCAGCTTTGGATTCCACGTGCGAGGCGAGAGCGGTTTTGGGAGGTCCAGGGAGGGTCTGAAGCCCACGGCGCCAACGACCATGATCAGAATTACATGTTTTTTGCATAGCAGTTGTTGTTTCGCACTGCAGCTTTGCCGTTCGAGCTTCAGCTTTGGATTCCACGTGCGAGGCGAGAGCGATTTGGGGAGGTCCAGGGAAGGTTTGAAGCCCACGGTGCCAACGACCATGATCATGATTACAGTTGTTTTTGCATTTCAGTTTTTGTTGGCATTGCAGTTGTTGTTGCATTGCAGCTTTGCCCTTCTAGCTTCAGCTTTGGATTCCGCGTGCGATGCGATTGAGGTTTGGGGAGGTCCAGGGAGGGTCTGAAGCCCACGGCGCCAACGACCATGATCAGACTTCAGAATTGCAGTTATTTTGTATTTCAGTTTTTTTGCGTTGCAGTTGTTGTTTGCATTACAACTTTGCCTTTCTAGCTTAAGCTTTTGATTCCGCGTGGAGGCGAGAGCGGTTTGGGGAGGTACCGTTTACCAGTTGCCGGAGGTTTTAGCACACCTCTGGCCCGCTGGGCCCACGAACTAATGTTTCAGAAGGGTTTCGTCCTCTTGGAGGCCTCTCGGGGCACTCTTGAAGCCATCTTGGAGCCATCTGGTGCCCCTCTTGGGCCTCTCTTGGGCCATCTTGGAGGCCATCGACCAACAAAGAAGGCGGCGTCAATTTGGATCCCCCCGTCGGAACCCTCAAAATCGCCTCTTGGAGCTCTCTTGGGGCGCTCTTGGGGCGGTCTTGGGCGCTCTTGGGGTCGTCTTGGGCCTCTCTTGAACCCCTCTTGGGGATCTCTGGGTCCATCACGGAGCCATCTCGAGGCTTCAGAAGCCCATCGGAAGCGAAAAGGCGAGAAGACAAACAAAAAGCATTGATTTCTATTAGGTTTTAGGCGGTTGGTGGCCTCTCTAGGGCGTCCTTGGGAGGCCCTTTGGCCACTTAGAGCTGTCCTGGAGGGATCTCGAGGCCTCTTGGAGGTTTGTTGCAAGCTATATTTGGAAATGTTGGGCTATCTTCAGCGATCTTGGATGCCATTTTTATCTCGCTGGGGCCTTCTTGGAGCCATCTTGGGCGCTCTGACTGCTCGCGAAAGGTCCCGTCCAGGTCCCGGGGGGGGTACCGAAGAGGAAGAAGGAGGTTTGAAGAGGGGGGTGTCAAGACCACTCACGCCCTACAGGGCTGGTGGGATTTTAGCCCCCTCCTCTGGGACCGTCAAAATCGCCTCTCGGGGCCCTCTGGGGTCCCTCTTTGTCGCGTCTTGGAGGCCTCTTGGGGCGTCTTCGGCGTCTCTGGGCAGTCCCGGGAGCCTCTTCGAGCCTCTTGGTTGCCTCTGGGGGGGGGAGAAGCTCTGAAGGCCTCTTGAGGGCCTCTTTGAAACCGCTTGGGAGTCTTCGGAAGTCTCTTGAGGGTCTTCTTGAAGCCCCTTGGGCGCCTCTTGGGGCCCTCTTGGAAGCCTAGGGAGGCCCTCTTGGGACCATGAAAGGAAGAGAAGGAGAAACAAGTAGAGAGCCCAGAGATGGAGAAACAAATAGAAAGCCGCGTCAGCTGCCATATCAATTTTTTTTCCCCAAAGCAAAGTAAGGCTTTGGGGTATAAGAACTTTTCGCTTCAAGCGGCTTAGAGTAGAGGGGAGTGGACAGGTAGTGGGCGGGATCCTTGAGATCCGTCGGCATGATGTTTTCAATCCGCGGTCCCAGAGGTCCCGACCCCTTCCCCAGGGGATATTGCGCCCAAGATGTATTTTTCATGACCCCGGAGCACAATCACGGGCCTGGGAGCCGAACTCGAGCAAATCCGCCAGGATAGAAAGATCATGTCGACGGAGATCTACTGCTCCAGGGCGCACACGGGGTCGAGCACTCAGGGCTTCAACCTTTTTGTCTCCTCACCGGAGGAGGGGGAGCGAGAGAGGGGAGAAATGATGGAGGAGGAGGAGGAGGCGGAGGAGAAGGAGGCGGAGGAGGAGGAGGAGGAGGCGGAGGAGGAGAGGGCGCCCAGGACGACCGCGACGTGGTCATGGCGGCCGTGCGCCGGCACGGGCACGCCTTGCGGTACGGCTCGCCTCGCCTGCGGCGGGACGCCCGAGTGGTGCTGGAGGCGCCCTTCCCTGCGTGCACTTTCCTCTGGGGGCTTGGGCGGGGGGGAGAGGGGAGGTGAGGAGGGGATGTGGGGTGGGTGGGGGGAGACGGGTGGACGATGGACGAGGTTTGAGGTTTGAGGTTTGAGGTTTTCTGTTGTTTTCGTAAGCTTGTACAGGCTTGTTGGCCTCGGGATGTCTTCCAGCGGCTGCGCCTCATCGACAGCGTTTCTGGGGTGCCTGGATCGTCCCGAACGGCCGCCAGAGGCCCGAGTTCTGACCCGAAAACCACCTGGGGACGCCAGCGTGGTGTTGGAGGCATGCTTCTTTTCGTTTTTCATCCGGAGGGATGGGGGGGAGGGGGGAGGGGGTGCGGGAACGGAGATGTGGGGGGAGGGGGGCTGCAGGGAGTGGTTCAAGGAGAGGAGTCGGAGGCGAGCCCGGTGGGGAAGTGAAAAGGAGCGGGCCTTCTCAGAAGGCTCGGCCTGGGCCTTCTGAGAAGTGCCCTAGATCTTCTCCGACGACACGAACAGCTTCTCAGAAGGCCAAAGGGGTTTGAGAAGCCCCGCCGCCTTCTGAGGAGGCCTTCTCCTTCTCATTTCCCTCCGGGCGCGCCGCCGACGTGTAGTCGCAGCGGCTGGGAATGTGTTTGCGTGCTCGTGGCAAACGGGAGATGTCTGGGAGGCACTCGCTGGCTTTTCGGGGCACTCTTGGTACCAAGCTGGGTCGTCGCCCAGATCAGAGTGAGGGGGCTGAACCGAACGGTCATTCACTGTCCCTGGGTGCGTGGCTGAAGTGGAATTCTGCGATGCGGATTATTGTTGTTGTTGTATGTGTTGCTATTGCTGTTGTTGTTATTGTTGTTGCTGCTGCTGCTGTTGGTGTTATTGTTGTTGTTGCTGTTGTTGCTGTTGTTGTTGGTGGTGGTTGTTGGTTGTTGCTTGCTGGTTGTTGCTTGTTGTTTGTTGTTTGTTGTTTGTTGTTTGCTGTGTGTTGTTTGTTGTTTGTTGTTTGTTGTGTGTTGCTTGTTGCTTGTTGTTTGTTGTTGTTGTTGTTGTTGCTGTTGTTGTTGTTGTTGATGTTGTTGTTGTTGTTGTGGTTGTTGTTGTTGTTGTTGTTGGTGTTGTTGTTGTTGTTGTTGATGGTGTTGTTGTGTGGTTGTTGTTGTTGGTGTTGGTGTTGGTATTGTTGGTGTTGTTGGTGTTGTTCTTGTTGTTGTTGTTGTTGTTGTTGTTGTTGTTGTTGTTGCTGTCGTTGTTGTTGTTGTTGTTGTTGTTGTTGTTGTTGTGTTGTTGTTTCGACCGCGACCCCCGCGACCCCGACCCCGCGACCCACCCCGCGCCCCGCGACCCACCCCGACCCACCCGGCGACCCACCCGCGGCGACCCACCGCGACCCACCCGCGACCCCAGCCCGCGACCCCACTCGCGCCCGCGACCCACCCGCGACCCACCCCGCGACACACCCGCGACCCACCCCGCGACCCACCCCGCGATCCACAGGAGGAGGAGAAGGAGGAGGAGGAGGAGGAGGAGGGCGCCATCGACAGGGAAGGTGAGGGCCATGAGGTCCGCCACACCCGCGTCGCCCGCGCCCGCCCCCTCACTCTGATCCGCAATTGCGGGGTGCTACGTACTTCTTGGGGAGGCTTCTTGGGGTCTCCTCGGAGGCCCTTCGGAGGCTTCTTGGCGGCAGTGGATCGGATGACTCTCTGGGAGGCTTCTCGGGGTCTCGTCGGAGGCCTCTCGGGGGCTTCTTGGTGGCAGTTGGGTGAGCTCCCGGGGCCTTGGGGGCCTCTTGTGGTAGCTTGTTGGGCCTCTGGTGGCCTTCTGGCGGCTTCTTGGGGGCCTGCTGGCGGGCTTGGGCGCCATCTTTCGGGGCAGGCTCGGCATGTTCGTTTGGATTCCCCCTCTTGGGGCCTTCTTGGGGGCCTCTGCAGCTCCCGTGGGAGGCCTCTTGGGCCGTCCTGGCAGCCTCGTGGGCTGACTTGGGGCGGTCTTGGCGGCCTCTTAGCCCGTTCTGGGCGGTCGGAAACACACAAAGGCGGTAACACCCAAATCTTTCAGAATGGTTTTAGCGGCGCCCGGGTCCCCGAGCCCAGGGGCAGCCCATTGTTTCCATCTTCCCCCCGCCAGGTAGCCCAGCTTCGCCCTCGGGGTCTATGGCCCTTCTTCGGCGCCCAGGGAATTGGCTTCGGCTTCAAGAAAAGAAGCGTCCACGACACAATTCCGACATACGAACGGCACAAACATTGTTCCGGACGGCCCTAGATGGATTCCAGACTTCTCCTGGCAGGCCACGATAGCCTCAGGGCGGCCCAGGACGCCCCCAAGAAGCCCCAAGACGGTTCCAAGAGAACTCTCGAGACGGCCCCATGAGGCAATCATCGCCCCAATCCCATAGGAACGAATACCGTAGCACCCCGTTGTTGCGGATAAGAGTGAGGGGGCGGCGGGACGTCGGCAGTCTGCGAGGCTCGGAAGTTTAAGATTATACAACGAGCTCGCCGCAGGCACAGATCTTTGCGTTGCAGCAATGTGGGTGGGTCGCGGGCTGGGTCGCGGGTGGGTCGCGGGCGGGTCGCTGGTGGGTCGCGAGTGGGTCGCGGGCTGGGTCGCGGGCTGGGTCGCGGGTGGGTCGCGGGTGGGTCGCATGCGGGTCGCGGGGTGGGTCGCGGGTGGGTCGCGGGCCGGGTCGCGGGCCGGGTCGCGTGGTGGGTTGCGGGTGGGTCGCGGGTGTGTCGCGGGTCGATCGCGGGCTGGGTCGCGGGCCTGGTTGCGGGTGGGTCGCAGGTGGGTCGCGGGCCGGGTCGCGGGGGGGACAACGAAAACAAGCATCAAGCAGCAACGAATTAGTTGAGGGATTTTCTGTGGAACTCACGTCATCCTTTCCCTGGCGCGCAGGAGAGTCGCTTCCAAACGCATCTCCAGCGACCATTTCTGGCGCTGCACCTGGCGCGCCGGGCGTGTCCCAACACATCCTCGCAAAATCGCCACACGGGCCCCCAGCGCACCCCCAGGGATCATTTCCGGCGCTGCACCCGGCGCGCCGGGCGTGTCCCAACCCGGCGCCCTCGCTCGAGACATCCTTGCAAAATCACCACATGGGCGCGTCGGGCGCGCCGGGCGTGTCCCAACCCAGCGCCCTCGCTCGAGACATCTTCGCGAAATCGCCCCACGGGCTCCAAGCGCACCCCCACGAGCCATTTCCAGCGCTGCACCAGGCGCACCGAGCGCGCCGGGCATGTCCCAACCCAGCGCCCTCGCCCGAGACATCTTCGCAAAATCGCCCCACGGGCCCCCAGCGCACCCCCACGAGCCATTTCCTGCGCTGCACCAGGCGCACCGGGCGCGCCAGGCATGTCCCAACCTGGCGCCCTCGCCCGAGACATCCTTGCTAAATCGCCACGCAGGCCTTCGGCGCACCCCTACGGGCCATTTCCAGCGCTGCACCGGGCGCACCGGGCGCGCCGGGCGTGTCCCAACCTGGTGCCCTCGTTCGAGACATCCTTGCAAAATCGCCACACGGGCCCCCAGCGCACCCCCATGGACCAGTTCCGGCGCTGCACCGAGCGCGCTGGGCGTGTCCCAATCCGGCGCCCACATCCTCTCAAAATCGCCCCACGGGCCCCCAGCGGACCCCCACGGACCATGTCTGGCGCTGCACCGGGCGCAGCGGGCGTGTCCCAACCCGGCGCCCTCGCTCGAGACATCCTGGCAAAATCGCCACACGTGCCCCCAGCGCACCCCCAGGTGATCCCCGCCCGCCCGATCCTCACCCTCCCTGATTTTCATTCTCATCATCCTCGCTCTCCCGATCCTCACCCGCCGCACCAACGCCACCCGTTCATTCTCACCATCGTCATCGAGCTCAGGCGCACGCGCTTTTTCTCTATATGATATTACAGAAACTCCCGATCAACCGCTGAGCGGCCGGCCGGTAACAACAAAATTATCCTGGCGAAGGACCCAACCATATGCAGTTGTGAATGCCGCAATTGTGAATAGTTACCATCTCCGCCCGCGCTCCCTATGTGGCCACGGCTCCCCGCCGGAGCCCGACATGCTCAGGGACACGTTCGTGGCCGTCTTCGCGGGCGCCGACGACGACAAGGACGGCGTCCCTCTCACCGAGGAGCAGAAGCAGGAGAGGGGCCTTGAGAGCCATGAGGGAGGAGGTGGCGTTGCACGTCGACAAGGCGGAGTACGACGCCCAGGCGCGGTTGTTGAACCAACACAACTATGGAGCCACGATCCTCGTGAGGGATGTGCCGCAATGGCCCGGGGCCGCCACGCGAACCCTGCCACTGGCGCCTTCGGTGGAGCTCCAGTGGGGCCACGATCCTCGTGAGGGGTGTGCCGAAATGGCCCGAGGCCGCCATGCGAACCCTGCCACTGGGGCCTTCGGTGGAGCTCCCTATGGGGCGATCCTCGTGAGGGGTGTATGGGGCCACGATCCTATGGGGCCACGTGAGGGGTGTGCCGAAATGGCCCGAGGCCGCCATGCGAACCCTGCCACTGGCGCCTTCGGTGGAGCTCCTATGGGGCCACGATCCTCGTGAGGGGTGTGCCGAAATGGCCCGAGGCCGCCATGCGAACCCTGCCACTGGGCCTTCGGTGGAGCTCCCTATGGGGCCACGATCCTCGTGAGGGGTGTGCCGAAATGGCCCGAGGCCGCCATGCGAACCCTGCCACTGGGGCCTTCGGTGGAGCTCCCTATGGGGCCACGATCCTCGTAAGGGGTGTGCCGAAATGGCCCGAGGCCGCCATGCGAACCCTGCCACTGGGGCCTTCGGTGGAGCTCCCTATGGGGCCACGATCCTCGTGAGGGGTGTGCCGAAATGGCCCGAGGCCGCCATGCGAACCCTGCCACTGGGGCCTTCGGTGGAGCTCCCTATGGGGCCACGATCCTCGTGAGGGGTGTGCCGAAATGGCCCGAGGCCGCCATGCGAACCCTGCCATGGCGCCTTCGGTGGAGCTCCCTTTGGGGCCACGATCCTCGTGAGGGGTGTGCCGAAATG